AGCCTTGAGCTGAAGAGCTGAGGAACAGCGCCCAGGCCCAGAGTTCAGGCCCCATGATCGGACTCCCCCACCCCCAAAAAAAGAATCTATGCCCCTAACCACTGTACTACCCTGCTTCCTCAAATCAGCATTTAAATTCTTAAATATATGGTTGGCAGAAAAGGACAGGGCTGGGCTGGGAAGGTGGCTCAGTGGTAGAGTGCTTGCCTCCCATGTATGAGGGCCTGGGTTCTATTCCTCAGCACCACATAAATAGTAAAAGCTGGAAGTGGCTCTGTGGCTCAAGTGGTAGAGCACTAGCCTTGAACTGAAGAGCTGAGGGACAGTGCCCAGGCCCAAAGTTCAAGCCCCATGACAAAAAAAAAAAAAAAGGACAGGGCAGGTGAAGTCACTCCTGGGTGATATTGAGACATCTGTGCCAGAAGTTCTGGAGGTGGATTTGGGATAGTTGCCATGATATTTAGGACATATTCTCCAGACATGCTCAGCAGACACTGTGGAAGAGTAGAGATCCTGCTGATTGCTCAGGCCCCATCACCAGGTTTACTAGCCCTATTGGACAGTACATCTTCCGCTCTAGAACAGCCCATAGAAGGACAATTCTTTCAGAAGTCCTCACTTTCCTCTGTACTTGCCCTGATCTGTAATTGAAATCTCAATGCCTGGGTCAGTAAGGTAATCTGTTGTCTATTTGTTCTGATGACCCTTTGATCTAGAAGGAAATGGGAGCTTCTCAGGAGATCTGACAAGCCTAAGAGAGGGATTCCAGACAGGCAACATGGACCCAGGCCACACCTTTCAATATGAAATCTAGAATTATAGTAAACTATCTCTAAACTTACTTGTGGCCCCCAAACATTCTGAGTGAGAATAAAAGATTTTGATCTGAGCCATAAATTGAGTTTCAGGTTCATCAGGCCTGCACTGAATCTCAGGAAGGATTGAGGTTCCACTTAACTTTCCTCTCTTACTATGTAAGCATTTTTTGAGGAATAGATTGAGAATCAACGGTCAGCTCTGACTGTCAGGGGCTGTTTATGTGAATGATTTTGAAACCATATCTTAACCTGGGAACATTGCATATTGTAGTTGTTTGGCTGTACCTGCCATAGGTGTGCTAAAAGTGATTACAATGCTAAAAGCAAGGCTGTGGGGTTATGTCATGACCCCTTGAGAGGAGCATAGTGGCTTCTCTTTCTGCTGGCCAGATTCTGCACTAGTATATAGCTCCCCGTGATAAGGCCTGATTTAGGTTTGGGTGGTTTGGCTTGGCTACTCCTGTCATCATTGATCAAACTATACTTAGTCCAAAGGGACACAGTGTTCAAAGAATTTTTGTCTGATTGGCTGTGGACAGGTTGCTAAGTGTCTCAAATATACGACCAGATATTGGCCTCAGAAATCTGGGAAATCTCAGAAAGCTGGGAAAGGAGTTGAAGAAAGATGTCATTCGTGTGTTTTTTTTTGGTGTGTGTGTGTGTGTGTGTGTGTGTGTGTGTGTGTGTGTGTGTAGTGTATGATGTTGTTGTTTGTTTTTGTGCTGGTCCTGGGGTTTGGGTGCTGCTCTTGAGCTTTTTTGATCAAGGCTAGTGCTCTACCATTCAAGCCACAGCTCCACTTCTGGCTTCTTGGTAGCTAATTGGAAATCTCATGGACTTTCCTGTGTAGGTTGGCTTTGAACTGAGATCTTCAGATATCATCTTCCTGAGTAGCTAGGAAATGGATGTAATACTATACAGATATGCCTATAATCCTATACAGACATGAGCTACCAGCACCCAGCTCATTTTCTTTTTGTTAAATATAATTTTATTGGTATTATTAAGGTGCTGTACAGAGGGATTACCATTTCATAAGTCAGTTAAAGAATACATATCTTTTTTGGACAATGTCACTCCTACTTTAGCTTTCTCCCAGTTTCCCTTCCTGCCCCTTCCCACAAGTTGCACAGTTCGTTTTCCACATAGTATATACTGCATGCATTCGTTCATACTTCCTCTCTCCCTACCTGTACCCTCCTTTACGCTGCCCACCTAGAAAAGACAAAAAAAAAAAAAAGGCGAACACCTCTACCACCACCAGAAACAAGAACAACAAAAACCCATGTTTCTTATTTCCTGGAATGTATTTTGATAAATAGTATTTTAAATGTTTGGAGGAATTATGCCTTTGGGTTCCTTCCCTAATAGAAACCTCCTTTAGTCTAACTGTTTGAATGCCTAGAGTCTTTTTAGGTTGTCATGTCCAGTTGTATTTTAGATCTATCTTCCACATATGAGAGAAAACATGGCTTACCTCACTTAATATGATTTGTTCTAGGTCTGTCCATTTCCCTGCAGATGACATAATCTTATTCTTTCAAATGGATGAGTAAAATTCCATTATGTATATAGACCATATTCTTTTGATCCACTCATCTATTGATGAGTGGATTTATTTGGGCTGTTTCTGTAACGTGACTATTGTGAATAGTGTAGCAATGAACATATATAGTCAAGTCTATGGTATTCTGACTTGTAATGCTCTGTGTAGATGCCTAAGAGGGGGTATGGCTAGGTCATAGGGAACTTCTATGTCTAGTTTTTGAGGAATCTTCAAACTGCCTTCTACAGTGATTTTTTTTGTTTTTGTTTGTTTTGAGGGTGTGACAGTACTGGAACTTGAACTCAGGACTTGGTCTCTTGGCTTTTTTTATGCAAAGCCACTTGAACCACAGCTCCCCTTCTCGTATTTTGCTGGTTAATAGGAGATAAGAGTCTCACAGAATTTCCTGCCTGGGCTGGCTTGGATCTATGATCCTCAGATCTCAGCCTCCTGAGTAGCTAGGACAAGAGGTGTGGATCACCAACACTAGGTTTCAAAGGGATTCTTGACCTCCAGCTGGGTCACAAACCCCAGTATCACAGCATGTGGTGCCAGAAACAGACCCAGAGAAGGGTAGGTAGAACCCAGGTTTCCCACCTACAGGCTGCAATCTTCCTGGGTACAAGCAAGTTTCCAGGGACCTTGAGGACATTTGGTCTCCATCTTTGTCCATTACAGGTTGTTTCAAGCTTTCCCTGGATCCTCATACAGTGGAATTCTGAGAGCTGCTGGTCCATCTGTTAATCAAGCTAGCCCTTTCCCTGGATCCTGTCTGGGCAAAGATGTTCTTGGATCCAGAGAGGCAGGGATTTCGAGCCTTCTAGTTCCCAGTGCACACAAACTCTACTATTGTAAAAACCCTGAGATCTCCATGTTATAGGTAAAAACTGAGACTACAAAGGCCACTGTCAGAGAATAGCAGCAATATATGAACCTAGGTCTGTTCTGACTTCAGAGTCCTTGATTTTAACCTTAGGAACATTTTTTTCTCCCTCTCTGCCCAGGATTTCCATTGATATGCAAGAGATGAATACACCTAGGGAGCTGCTTATTACACAAGGGGGCAGCCTCAGATCCACTCCCCCTGTAGGGGCTAACGCAGCTGTCCAATCAGGTGAAAAGGACCTACCTGGGCCCAGGTGCTACTCCAAAGCTCCTGGGGCTGAATTAGAAGAAGTCTCAAAAGGAACTGAAGAGTTTCCCTCATTACAGAAGAGAAACAGTGATGAGAGAGCAAATGTAGAGGAAAAGCAAGGGCATGGGTCTGAGCCTGTCATGGGACCAACCTTGGCCCAAAGAAACAAGAAAGATGCTGCTGACAAGACCCCAGGCCTGCAGCAAGACAAAGGCCCAGGGATAGGATACCACGAGCCTGAAGATTGTGTAGCCAGGGACTCTGTGAGAGCTAAAGCTGGAGGAAAGATGTACCCAGGTGCTAAGGCTGGCGGCATGGTTCTGGGTAAGTAAGGCTGTTGCCAGCTTGGCACAAGCTCTTTGGTGGATGCAACGGATGACTATACTTTCCTGATGCCTTCAGGATTAGATAGTGTTGGTCTGTAGATGCCCAGCTTTATTTATTTATTGTTATTGTTATTATAAAGGTGATGTACAGAGTGATCACAGTTACATGTGTCCCTTAGCTTTTTCACTCAAAGCTGGTGCTCTACCACTTGAGCCACATCTCCATTTCCTGCTTTTTTGGTGGTTAATTGGAGACAAAAGTTTCATGGACTTTCTCTGCCCAGGTTGGCTTTGAACCATGATCCTCAGATCTCAGCCTCCTGAGTAAGTAGGATTACAGAAATGTGCTACCAGCACCCAGCTGTCCTTGTGTTCTTTTGACACAAAGGTCATCAATCTCTTTATTCTGGGGTTGATCTTAGTTGAGAGGATTATCTGTGGAATACTCTGGGTGCTCCCTGTAATACAAAAGCAGGATGGTTCCATGACAATCCCTCAACTTCTTGCCTCAGCCTCTTCTGGTTTTCTTTACTCACACACTGGCCTATGCCTTTCTGTTTTATTCCTTTACACTATTTTTATTTCTTTTAATATATTCTATTATTCATATCACCTGACTTAAAGATATCAATTCCAAACCATGTTTTAATCTTTCCAAGGACTGATTCTCCTTTGTAGTCCCTCCAGATCCACTGTCCCTCTCTTTTCCCCACACTGTGCCTGAGAGCTACTCCTGTGGGCCTCATTACTGGTTCTTCTCTTCCAGCATCAGGATTGGGTCAGCTGCCAAAAAGCCAAGGGTAATAGGACAGAAAGTGGTGCATTTACTTTTCACAACACCCTTGCTGCTTGCTATTGGACTAGTGACCAGGAAACCTAGATTTTAATCCTGCCCCTGGCTTGCTGTCTGACCTTGAACTTAGTTACCTCACTTCTCTAAGACTCAATTTTCTCTTCTGCCAAATGGATGGCTGCAACCCTTGTGAAAGGGTCGTAGGCAGGGCAAAAGGCTAATCCATGTGAAGCTGAGTGACTCTCTGATGGGGGCTGTATGTAGAAAGCTCACAGACCCCTTGTTATTTCCTGACAGATGACAGCTCAGCCCCACCAGCCCCTTTTGAACACCGGGTGGTGAGTGTCAAGGAGACCTCCATCTCAGCAGGCTACACGGTGTGCCAGCATGAAGTTTTGGGAGGGTAGGTGAGGGCTGGGAGTGGGAGCAGCAGGACTGACCCAGCAGGGGAATGAGTGAGATGCTGCTGGGTGGTCCTCAGAAGCAGACTGACTGAGCCAAAGGCAGGCCTGGGATTTCCTACCCAGCATAGATGAAGAAAGAGTCCACAGGAATCAGCTGTAGATATCCCTAGAGTATAACCACCAGGTGCAGGGAAGGACAGAAGAGCCAACTCATGTAGGAGCATGGTCTTCTCCAGCATACAGAGTGTGGAGTGGCATTGGGATTATTCCCTGGGGGACAGAATAGCCCATATTGTATGGGGGGGGTAGTTTTTCCTTACATTTTACAGTAGACTGTATGGTCCAGAAACTTTCTAGATTTCAGAAAAGCCCATATAGTGTGGGGTGATGCCTAGGACATACTGTGAGGTACAGTGTGGTCTGGGGGGGGGAAGGATGTGGGTAGCCCACCATGTGGAGGTGAGCTTCCTGCTTTCTCACCCTGCTGTGTCTCCCTGTGTCTCTATAGGGGTAGGTTTGGCCAGGTCCACAAGTGCACAGAGAGGTCCACAGGCCTGCCACTGGCAGCCAAGATCATCAAAGTGAAGAGTGCCAAGGACCGGGTAAGATGCCTGCGCTGGGCCAGCCAGGCCCTTCTAGCCAAGCTCAGGGCTCCTTCACTCCTCTGCAGCTCCTTCCCCACTGTTTTGTGCTGTCCCACACTGTCTCAGTCCCATCCTCCATGCTGAGTAGGTCCTATGGCCTCTCCTGCCGCTTTTCCACTCTCGCCTTTCACTCAGCAAGTTGCTTCATACTCCTCAGTCCACACCCATGTATCACTATGTGTCAGAGTCCTGGCATGGTTCTGCCAAGGTGCTGGCATGACTTTGAGTGACAAGGCCTTTTTCTTCTTGGGCCTCAGGTTTCTATCTGTGAAATGAGTAGCTTAAAATAAGTCTTTACTGTTAAAAGATTGTGAATTCCTGCTGTGGCAGAGGGATGTTGAAGAAAGATGGTGTGTGTGTGTGCGTGTGTGTGTGTGTCTATCTGTATGTCTCTGTCTTTCTGTCTTGAGAGTGCAGTTGGCTTCTATTTCTAATATGTTTACTTGGAAACTCCTCTCTCTGGTTCCACAAGGAGGATGTGAAAAATGAGATCAGCATCATGAACCAGCTCAGCCATGTGAACCTGATCCAGCTCTATGACGCCTTTGAGAGCAAGAACAACTTCGCTCTCATCATGGAGTAGTGAGTGTCTCAGAGATGGGGCAGCAGCTATTTCTCAGGCTGGAATAAAGGCTGGGACTTAAAGTCTTTATTCTAGGAAAACTCTTTCTTTCCTCTTCACTCACTGAGAGTGAGAAAGAGTGAGTAAGAGACATTAGTGGCCATGCCATCACCTTTTTCTCTGGCTTGACTGTTGTGTCCCAATAGAGGATATAGGAGAAATCCCTTCTGCCCACAGAGCTGTGGCCCTGGGTCTAATTGTACTGCAGATATTACAATGGTATAGCCTACACAACTTTTACTGTTTGAGTTTTTTTAACAGCTGAAACTGGGAAATTTAGATAATGAAAATGGGAAAACCTATATATCTGACTTTTAAGAAAATTTATAGGGGCTGGGAAGATGGCTCAGTGGTAGAGAGCTTGCCTTGCATGCATGAGGCCCTAGGTTTGATTCCTCAGCACCACACAAACAAAAAGAAAAAAGCCGGAAGTGGCGCTGTGGCTCAAGTGGTAGAGTGCTAGCCTTGAGCTGAAGAGCTGAGGGACAGTGCCCAGGCCCAGAATTCAGGCCCCACGACTGGACACCGCCCCCCCCCCCAAAAAAAGAAAATATATAAAGGATATAGTGATGCTGGGCCTGGGTTTTTTGGGAGGGCGTGTGTGTGTGTGTGTGTGTGTGTGTGTTGTGTGTCCCAGTCCTGGGGTTTAACCTCAATACCTGGGCACTTGAGCCACAGATTCATTTAGACTTCTTCCTAGTTAATTGGAGATAAGAGTCTCACGGACTTTATTTCCTGGGCTGCCTCAAACTGTGATCCTCAGATCTCAGCCACCTAATTAGTTAGAATAGAGGCATGAGCCATAGCACCCAACCTGGCCCTGCATTTCTGGCTGGAAAATAGTATATTGGAACTTATAGTAGATGCCTTTTTGTAGATAATCCAACCTGTCCACAAATCCCCAACATTCTCAACCAATGGTTGGCATGGTAGCCATGGATGGGCTGTTCATGTTTGCATTTGTATTGCTGTTTTCCTTCTGGCAGGGCTAAGGAAAGCAAAACATTTGCTATGACTGACTCCATCAAAAGCATAAAAAATAAAAGACTAAGGGCTCTATGTTTACAGAAAATGGTATAATCTGCCCATTTAGGCTTCTTGTTACCTAGGTGCATGTGGTTGGCTTCTATAAGCAGATGATTTTACTACTCTAATTTAGATGATCCAGAGTATGGTTTATCAATATAGAAAACCATCTTAGGAATAGGCCAGAGCAAAAATTCTGACAAAACACCAGTGATCCATCCATAAGATGTAATCAACACTGGGTTGACTCAGACTGACCTCCTTGGGCCCCGAAAAGAGTGGAGAAGACCTCCAAGAGCTTTGCCCAGTTTGGTGCTTGCTTCTCCCTTTTTATCTGGCAGTGTGGATGGTGGTGAACTCTTTGACAGGATCACAGATGAGAAGTACCACTTGACAGAACTTGATGTGGTCTTGTTCACCAAGCAAATCTGTGAGGGTGTGCATTTTCTCCACCAACACTACATCCTGCATCTGGACCTTAAGGTAAGTTCTGCCCTGGGATGTGGCAGATGGTTCCTGAGCTTCTCAGGCTCACCATTGAGCTTTCTGTCAACAGACAACCCTGACTTCCCTTCCTGGCTCTGCTATTTTCTAGCTCTGGAGTTGTAAGGCCAGTCTTGCCACTTTTCTTAGCCTCCACTCTCCCATCTGTAACATGTGGATAATTGTGCCTAATTTAAAGGGTTATTTGAAAATTAACTGGTATAATGCCCTTCCTTTTCTTTAAAAGTAGTTTTTAAATGGCCAGCCAAGTGCCAGTGGTTCATGCCTGTAATACTAACTATTCAAGAGGCTGAGATCTGAAGATTGCAGTTTGAAACCAGCCTGGGCAAGAACTTCCATGAGACTCTTATCTCTAATTAATCATCAAAAACTTGGAAGTGGAGCTGCGGTTCAAGCGGTAGAGAACTAGCCTGAGCAAAAAGCCTCAGTGAAAGTGCCCAGGTCCTGAGTTCAAGCCCCAGGACTGGCAATCCTCCCCCTCAAAAAAAGTCCAAAAGAAAATATATGCTTATGTGGCAAATATAAACAATATAAAAGTATATAAAATACACAGTGGAAGTTCTTCCCACACAATCTTCATGAAACATAGTCTATATGAGCAGCTTGACAACACAAACACATACACACACACACACACACACTCACACACTCACACACTCACACTCACACACACACAGGACAATTATACAATGAATGTTTTGTTTAAAATTTTTTAATTAGCTTAAATTACTTTTTCCAGAGCAGGGGGCACGGAGACTATGATTTATAAACAAATAAATGTGGGAGAAGCACGCCTTCTTAGTTCTTTTTTCTGTTGGTCATGGGGCTTGAACTCTGGCCCTGCGTGCTGTCCCTCAGCTCTTCAGCTCAAGGCAAGCACTCTACCAATCAAGCCACAGTACCATTTCCAGTTTTCTGGTGTATAATTAGAGATAAGAGTCTCACATACTACTTTCCTGCCTGGGCTGGCTTTGAACTAAGATCCTCAGATCTCAGCCTCCTGAGTAGCTAGGATTACAGGTGTGAGCCACCGGCACCCGGCCCTTCTTAGTTCTTAAACCTGGCTAAACAAACTTCTCTTTCTTTTCTAGCCAGAGAACATTCTGTGTGTCAATCAGACTGGACACCAAATTAAGATCATTGACTTTGGTCTGGCCAGAAGGTAAGGGAGATTTATTCTGATATTTCGACAAAACTGAAAAAGACTCTAGCTCAACAGAGCTAGTTACCTGGTGAATTCTTGAGTTGGGAATGGATGAAGACATTTGGAGGCTGATGGCTTTTGACTTCCAGATGAGCCTTGTTCCCACCCAGGAGGTGGCTTTGTGGAATTCATGGTTCTTTGAGCCAGCTGAAAAGAGGAAGGGATGGTCAAAGAGGACTCAGGATGTGGTGCTGGGCAGCTCAGTTCTCTCTGTCTTTCTCTCTCTCTCTCTCTCTCTATATATATATATATATATGTGTGTGTATGTATATATATGTATGTGTATATGTATATACAGGGTCTTTCTGACTTGTCCAACCTGTCTTTGAACTATAGATCATTCTGCTCCCACCTCCTGAGTGTTGGGATTACAGGTGTACAAAACCATGCCTGTCTAAATTTTAAAATGATTCAAAAGACTTAAAACCTAGTGTAGCTGTTTTTTTCTGCACAGTCCTGTTCAGTCATTTGTGTGATAAATCCTAAGCTTCTGCAGGGCTCTAGCCATTGCAGACACACTTGGTTCTCAACAATGGATGTTGCAGGTTTCTTGGCATTAGGAAGGTGCTTCCTGTCCTCCAAACCTTCATGTATCCACAATTCATGCTTCCAGCTATAAAGATATTAACTGAAATTGGTTCACAATTGTACCATAATTGTGGCTTTCTCTAGAACTTTGTTCCCTCCAAGAATGACTTTTTTATCTGGAAACCACACATTTTCTGGATAGGTCTTCATATTGTAGCTGAGTCCTCAATTCTTCCTAAAGTTTTTTTTTTTCTTTTCTTTTTTGCATGTTCTCTATATGTAGTTGAGCTGGCTTGGAACTTGAGATCATTCAACCTTTCAAATTCTGGGGTTACAGGTGTGAGTTGTCACACACATTTTTTTTGTCATTTAATGTCTGTTTCCCCCAAAGAAGTAGTCATTGTTATAAGCCATAGGATGTTCTCCACTTCGTGCACAAGTTGGAGATAGTACAGCTTTGCCCCATAGAGGCAGAGCTGCTGGCATGAGCCTAGTTCCTGGTTTCCTACTTCCACATACCATCCCAAACCACAGTGGCCACTCCTGAATAATTTCTCCCCTGGTTGAAGTGGCAAGTGTTCCTGTTAGCAGAATAAGGGCTGCAACTTCACTGCCCCACATGCTGTCGGCATACAGCAAAAGGAAGTTTGTATCATCCCTGACACACAGTGTGGGCATTCCTATACACAGTGGCCTCAGTTTTCTCCCAGCCCCAATAGTTAAAAACCACATTCAATCCACAATATAAAAAAAACTTATTTCATGTTTTCTTCAGATAGTGTCTATTAAAATTGAGATTAATCCTATACACTTGCATGTCTTACATACCTGAGCAGTGTTTTGCAATGTTTTCACCATTGCTACCTGTCCCCACATTGGGCACCATTTTTGGCTTTTTTTCCTAGCCTCTTGGTCACCCCATTTCATGAAATTTAATGCCATAGATGTCTGTGCACATGTATCATTGTCCTTTGAAGAGCTATAAACCATCATAATAGCTAAGTTATTTTTCCCTCCTCCTTGGGACAGTGTTGTCTTCACTGAGAATGTATATACTGGAGTGTGCATTATATTCACAAATGCCAAGTGACCAATTGTCATATGAGTCCTTACAGTGATATACTAGGAATTCAGGGCAAAAAAATAATCTGGGGCTGAGTGTTTGTGGCTCATGCCTATAGTCCTAGCTACTCAGAAGGCTGAGATATGAGGAGCACAATTCAAAGAAAGCCTGGGTAAGGGAAATCTGTGAGACTCCAGTTAACCAGCAAAGAGCCAGAAGTGGAATTGTGGCTCATGTGTGGAATACTAGCCTTGAGCAGAAAAGCTAAAGGACAGTTCCCAGGCCCCAAGATCAAGCCCCAGGACTGGCAAAAAAAAAAAAAAAAGCAATTACTGCTAAGTAATGGTGGTTTACTCCTGTAATCCCATCTATTCAGGAGGCTGACATCTGAGGATCATGCTTGAAAGTCATAAGACTCTTATCTTCAATTAACTACCAAAAACCCAGAGGTGGAGCTGTAACTCAAGGGGTATAACACTGGCCTTGAGCAAAAAACTCATGAATACACCCTAACTCTGAGTGCAAGTCCCAGTAGTGACACAAAAAATAATCCAAGCTGGGCACTGATTGCTCATGCATGTACTCCTAGCTACTCAGGAGGCTGAGATCTGAGGATTGCCATTCAAAGCCAGCCCAGGCAGGAAAGTCTGTGAGACTCTTATTGCCAATGAACCACCAGAAAACCAGAAGTGGCACTGTGGGTCAAGTGGTAGAGTGCTCACCTTGAGCTGAAGAGCTCAAGAACAGCACACAGGCCCAGAGTTCAATCCCCATGCCCCTCACCCAATTAAAAAAAAAAAAAACAGCTAAAAGACAAAAACACATTGTGGGTTTGGTTTTTTTGGTTTCAGAGGCACTGCAGTTTGAACTCAGGGCCTCAGGCTTGCTCAGGATGGCACTCTAACCATTGAACCATACCTCTAACCTGGCTTTTTGCTAGTTAATTTGGAGATGGAGTCTAGCCAATTTTTCTCCTTGGGCTAGCCTTGAACCTTGATCCTCTGGAATTTAGCCTTTGATAGCTAGGACTGATGTGAAGTACTGGCATTGGGCACAGTATAGATTTTGAATGTAGTTCCCTAATGATCAGTGATGATGAGCATCTTTTCCTCTTTTGCTGGCTTTGTTATTCCTCTAGCCACATTGTACATGCAACAGAGCAGTGGCTACCCAATATCTTCTACCCCATTTGTTTATATTTTTCATGTGGGTATGTAGCAAATAAGAAGTATTGGTAAGCTGGGGGTGTGTTCAGCAGTAGAGCACCTGCCTAGGAAACAAGAGATCTTGAATTCAAATTTTATACTGTCCCACCTCCCCCCCAAAAGAACAATAAAACCTATTAAAAGAAAAAAAGCAGGACATTAGTAACACATATGTATAATCATCCTAGCTACTCAAGAAATTGAGATCTAAGGATCCCTCTGTAAAGCTAGCACAGGCAGAAAAGTCTATGAGATTCTAATTTCCAATTAACTAGCAAAAAGGTGGAAGTGGAGGTGTGGCTCAAGCAGTAGAGTATCAGGCCAGAAAAAGTTAAGGAAGAATGTGAGACCCTGAGTTTAGGTTCCAGAACCATGTGTGTGCACACACACACAAACATACATACACACACACACACACACATAAAAGAGAGATATTAGTGTGCTGCCTCTTCAGTCAGGCATGTATGGAGAACTGTAGTTTTCTGATCTAGCTAGGAAAGCCTGTAGTTTGGGGCTTACAGGTTTGATTATTCCCCAGTGGATATGAGACCTAGGCATGTCTAACAGGAAAGGTGGGGGACTGTGCCCTCCCACTAGGCCTTAGTTCCATATCCAGATTTATTTTTTATTTTTTTGCTGGTCCTGGGGCTTGAACTCAGAGCTTGGGCTCTGTCCTTGAGCTTCTTTTGCTCAAGGCTAGTGCTCTACCACTTGAGCCACAGCTTTTTCTGAGTAGTTTGTTGGAGATAAGAGTCTCACAACCTTTCCTGCCCAGGCTGGCTTTGAACCAGGATCCTCAGATCTCAGCCTCATGAGTTATTACTGTTTCTATTGTTATTATTGTTACTATTAAGTTGTTGCATAGAGAGGTTACCATTTTGTAAGTCAGGTAATGAGTACAATTATTTTTCTGGACAATGTCACCCCTTTCTTGGTTCCTCCCCAGTTTCCTCCAGATTTTTTGTGTGTGCTTGTTCTGGGTCTTGAACTCAGGATCTAGGCACTGTCCTTTATGTTGTTTGTTATTGTTGTTGTTGTTTGTTTTTGGCAGTCATGGGGCTTGAACTCTAGGCCTGGGTGCTGTCCCTCAGCTCTTCAGCTCAAGGCTAGTGCTCTACCACTTAAGCCACAGCTTCTAGTTTTCTGGTGGTTTAATGGAGATAAAAGTGTCACAGAATAGCTGGGCACTGGTGGCTCACGCCTGTAATCCTAGCTACTCAGGAGGCTGAGATCTGAGGATAGCGGTTCAAAGCCAGCCAGGGCAGGAGAGACCGTGAGACTCCTATCTCCAATAAACCACCAGAAAACCGGAAGTGGTGCTGTAGCTCAAGTGGTAGAGTGCTCGCCTTGAGCTGAAGAGCTGAGGGACAGCGCCCAGGCCCAGAGTTCAAGCCCCACGACCGACAAAAAAAAAAAAAAAGTGTCACAGACTTTTCTGCCTGGGCTGGCTTTAAACTGCAATCCTCAGATCTCAGCCTCCTGAGTAACTAGGATTACAGGTATGAGCCACTGTTGCCTGTCTTCCCACATCTCCATCTAGTTCAGGTCTTGCTTCTATGGTCTTCTCCATTCCCTCCTCCCCAGGTACAAGCCCCGGGAAAAGCTGAAGGTGAACTTTGGCACTCCTGAGTTCCTGGCCCCAGAAGTCGTCAACTATGAGTTTGTCTCATTCCCCACAGACATGTGGAGTGTGGGCGTCATCACCTATATGCTGTGAGTCCCCAGGGGCCTGGTACTGAGGTGGGCTGGGGCTCTCTATCTTACTCTGGCAGCCTTAGAAGCAGCAGAAACTTGAATATATTTATTTCCCCAGGAACACTAGTAGAAGAGCAGTGTTGGGTATGTTACTGAGCCATCTACCTATCACATGTACAAAGGGATCTTACTTCTAAACTATCACTTCCAATAAGGCTGTTGTTGAAAAGAGATGTTGAGTTATATGATACTATTCCTCAGAGTAAAGGTCTGAATACTTCATTTCATGGTGAAGCTTTTTTTAGGTTTCAGGAGCCATAGCTAAGTCACAGGCTGAGCCACTGAGTTTAATCTGATAGTCACATATAAAATAACTTAAATTAACAAAGATATTAATGACCCAGAAATAAGCAATACCTGTGAACATCTAGAGTTTTCCACTGGGAGACTATGGATTCCATTGTGAAATACTCTCTCAAACTTATTTTTATGAGGGGCAAAAGAGCTCAATATTCCTACTCCTTTTTTTTTCTTTTCTTCTTTTGTCTTTGCTGGTCCTGGGGCTTGAACTCTGGGACTAGGTGCTGTGCCTGAGCTTTTTGTATTCAAGCTAGTGTTGTACCACTTGAGTCACAGCTCCACTTCTGCCTTTTTTTTTTTTTTTTGATAAGTGGAGATAGGAATCTAGTGGAATTTCCTGCCTGGGCTGGCTTTAAACTGTAACCCTCAGATATCAGCCTCTTAAGTAGCTAGGATTATGGGCTTGAGCCACTGATACCTGACTCCCACTCTTATTAACTAAATTTTATGTGCTTATCCCAGGAGTGTGTGTTGCAGAAATGAAATTAGTTTCCAGGTACTTTGGGTGGGTAAAGCAAATTTTAATCACAGAGAAAGCTATCTGGCAAAGAAATTCAGGTAGTTGGGTACAAGTGTATAGAATGTATAGAGTTAACCAAAGGGTTACAGTAAGGGGATGGGTGAGCCAGGCATCTCTACACAGTGCAACCTGTCACTTCTTTTTTGTTTGTTTTTGTTTTTGTCAGTTGTGGGGCTTGAACTCTGGGCTGGGTGCTTCCCTGAGCTCTTCAGCTTATGGCGAGCACTCTACTACTTGAGCCACAGAAGCACTACTTCTGGTTTTCTGGTGGTTAATTGGAGATAAGAGTCTCTTGGCCTTTCCTACCCGAGCTGGCTTTGAACCGTGATCCTCAGAGCTCAGCCCCATGAGTAGTTAGAATTATAGGTGTGAGCCACAAGCACCTCCCTTGTTTGTTTTTGTTTTTGCAAGTCCTGGGCTTTGATCTCAGAGCCTGGTACTATCCTTGAGTTTCTATTGCTCAAGTCTAGCATTCTACCACCTAAGCCAAATTTCCTCTTCTGGATTTTTCTGTTTATATGGTACTGAGGAATGGAACCCAGGGCTTCCTGCATGCTAAGCAAGCACTGTATCACTAAGCCACATTTCTAGCCCTGCCCTATCACTTCTTATCCTAGCTTTCCTGTTTTTTTTCTGTACGTATATGTGTATGTGCGCGCGCGTGCACACACACACACACACATGCATGCATGCAGGCAGGCAGGCACACACGTGTTAGTATTGGGAATTGAACTCAGGGCCTTATACTTCTGCTTGCCTTTTTTGTTCAAGGCTGATGCTCTACCAGTTGAGCCACACCTTTACTTTGTTGTTGGAAGTGGTGGTGGTGATTAATTGGACATTAGAGTCTAAAGGCCTTTTTGTCTCTCTGGCTGGCTTCAGTCCTCAGATCTCAGCCTCTTGAGTAGCTAAGATAACCACTAGCACCTAGCCCTGTTTTTCTCCTTTCTCTCTGACTTTGAACTTCCCTTGACTAGGTTCTTAGAAGCCACCATAATGTTTTACTTCTTGTCTTATTTTTATTGTATAATGGCTATCTGTTCTATCCCAGATTGGGGAAGCTTCAACCCTATGGCCAGCCAATAGAACCAATTTCCCTTTGGTGACTAATTGAATCTAGTTGTCTCTGAAATAACCAATAAAAATATTTTAAAATTGAATCATAAACAAATAAGAATTTGATTACCGAATATATTTGTTGGGTCCAACTGCTTCTCTTCTTCATCACAGTTCTGGTTAGATAGGCCTGAGACTTATGTTTCCTCTCTGTTCTATGGAAGAATATTGGCTAAAATGGCTTTGAGATAGTGATGATCTTTCCTCTTCTCTGTAGGCTCAGTGGTTTGTCCCCATTTCTAGGGGAAACAGACACAGAGACCATGAATTTCATTGTGAACTGCAGCTGGGATTTTGATGCTGACACCTTTGAAGGGCTGTCAGAGGAAGCCAAGGACTTTGTTTCCAGGTTGCTTGTCAAGGAGAAAAGGTACCTTTATTGTTGATCACTCATGAGTTGTTCTGATGAGATCTTGACCTGGGTATTGGGCTGGCCTGTTGAAACTAAAGATTTTTCATTTGTTCAGTATTTCTTGTCCTGAAACTTGTTTGGAACAAGAAAGGGTCAGAGAAAGGAACAAAGGTAATCAATTCAAAAACAAATAGAAACAAAGTCCAGTCAGAATTTTAAAAATCACCATATTTATAGATGGACCCTATTTCCAAGGTATTACTTATTAGACACACTTGATAAAAAGTAAAGTTATACAGATGTCATTGCATTTCTTGTGACAAGGACTGCTTCAAGCAGTCCTTGAGGTGTTTGATACCCAGGTGAAATAGTAACTTTAATAACCAAAGGTATTAATCATCCAGAATAAAGTTCTGAGCTTTCTTCCTCCCCCACTCCTCCTCACCCCTCCTCTTTCCTTCTCCTTCCTCTTCCTCCCTCCTCCTTCCTGCTCCTTCTTCCTCCTTTTTTTTGTTGGTCATGGGGCTTGAACTCTGGGCCTGGTCACTGTCCCTCAGCTCTTCAGCTCAAGGCGACCGCTCTACCACTTGAGCCACAGTGCCACTTCTGGTTTTCTGGTGGTTAACTGGAGATAAGAGTCTCATGGACTTTCCTGCCCAGGCTGGCTTTGAACTACCATCCTCAGATCATAGCCTCCTGAGTAGCTAGGATTATAGGTGTAAGCCACCAGTGCCTGGCGTTTCTTCCTTCTCTCCCTCCCTCTTTCCCTTCTTTCTCTTTCTTTCTATCTTTCTTTTTCTTTCCCTCTCTCTCTCTTCTTCTTCTTCTTGTTCTTTATTATTATTATTGTGAAAATACCATACAGAGGGGTTATAATTACATGGGCAAGATAGTGAGTATATTTCTTACCAAGCATTGTTGCCTCCTCCTTTGTTTCCCCATACCATTCCTTCCCCTCTCCACCCCACCCCCACCCCCACCCCCATACCCCCTTACCACCACTACCACTACTCCCACACCACACCCCGCCAAAGTTGTGTTCTTGTTGTTGTTGTTGTTGTGTTGTTTTTGTTGTTCTTCTTCTTTTATTCTCTTCTTTTCTTCTCCTTCTCCTCCTTCTTTTCTTGCCAGTCCTGGGGCTTGAACTCCAAGCCTTTATTTGGTACTGAGTAATCAAACAAGCACTCTACCACTAAGCCACATTCCCAGCCCACTTTCTTCCTTTTTTGGTGCCAGTTCTGGATCTTGAATTCAGGGCATGGGTGCTATCCCTGAGTTTTTTTTGCTGAAGGTTAACTCTGTACAACTTGAGCCACAGTTCTACTTCTAGCCTTCTGGTGGCTAATTGGAAATAAGAGTTTCACAACAGATGCTGGAGGGGATGTGGACAGAAGGGAACCTTACTTCATTGTTGGTGGGAATGTAAACTTGTTCAACCACTTTGGAAAGAAGTATGGAGGTTCCTCAAAAGACTTCACATAGAGCTCCCCTATGACCCAGCAATCCCACTTTTGGGCATTTACCCAAATGTTTACAAACAAGACCACACTAAAGCTACCAGGCACAACTATGTTTATTGCAGCATTATTTACCATAGCTAAGATATGGAACCAACCCAGATGCCCTTCAGTAGATGAATGGATCAAGAAAATGTGGTATATATACACAATGGAATTCTATGCCTCCATCAGAAAGAATGACATTGCCCCATTTGTTAGGAAATGGAAAAACTTGGAAAAAATTATATTAAGTGAAGTAAGCCAGGCACAAAGAAACACAGGTCCCATGGTTTCCCTTATTTGCAATATCTAGTATATGTATGAGTCAAGCGGAAAAAGTCAGATAATGTGATGTTAGGAAAATGAATCCTTAGATAGGTATTTTAATTTTTTTTTCTTTCATGCATGTGTTTCTAACGCATTTATAAGTTTATTTCTTTGTTGCTTTGTATGTCCCTCCCCCACAGTATAACCCCCGCTTTCAATATATTTGATGTCAGTATAACTTATGGAGGAGATGGGGAAAAACAAGTCATTTAAGGATTCAGGTGGACCTGTTGTAACAATGAGAAGTACAAATTGTCATGTCAAAAAGGAGCTTTACAATGTCGGTGGAGGGGGGGGGAAGGATTGAGTGGGGGGAGAAGGGGGGAGGCTGGGAAGGGAGGTGAAGGGTAAACAAAGGAGGAGGCTGCAATGCTTGGTAAGAAATGTATTATCTTGCCCATGTAATTGTAACCCCTCTGTACAGTATGTTCACAAATAAAATAAAATTTTTTAAAAAAAGAAAAAAAAGAAAAGAAAAAAGAGTTTCAGACTTTCCTGTCCAGGCTAGCTTCAAACTGTGGTCCTCAGATATCAGCCTCCTACATAGTTGAGATTACAGGCAACAGCCACCGGTGCTTGGTTTAAGAAATTAACTTCTTGGGGCTGAGAAGGTGGCTCAGTGGTAGAGTGCTTGCCTTGCATACTTGAGGCCCTGGGTTCGATTCCTCAGCACCACATAAGCAAAAAGAAAAAAGCCAGAAGAAGTGCTGAGGCTCAAGTGGTAGAGCGCTAGCCTTGAGCTGAAGAGCTGAGGGACAGCGCCCAGGCCCAGAGTTCAGACCCCACGACCAGACCCCCAAAAAAAATTATTTAAAAATTTTTAATTTTTATTATAAAGGTTAATACATAGGGGTTACAGTTAAGTCAGATAATGAGTACTTTTTTTTTTAACATTGTCACCCCTTCCCTCACTCCCTCCCATTCCAACCCACAAGTTGTATAGTTGATTTTTAATATAATGTCTAGGGAGTACCACAGCTGGCATTTGTTTACCCATTGTTCATCCATTTCTATGTCTCCCTTACCCTCTCAAATTATTATTATTAGTAAAGTAGTTGTACAAGGAGGTTACAATTCCATGTCAGGTTATGAGTACAATCCCCTTCCATTGTTCTTCCCTATTTCCCCCTCCCATTTCTACCCTTACCTTTTACTTCTTTTCTTTTTTTGGAAGGTTGTGGGGCTTGAACTCTGGGCCTGAACACTGTCCCTCAGCAGTTCAGCTCAAGGCTAGCACTCTACCACTTGAGCCACAGTGCCATTTCCAGTTTATGAGTGGCTTACTGGAGATAAGAGTCTCAAGACTTTCCTGCCTGGACTGGCTTTGAATTGTGATCCTTAGATCTCAGCCTCCTGAGTAGCTAGGATTACAGGCATGAGCCACCACCACCTGGCATCTTTTGCTTTTTAAGTACAATCTTAAGAGCTGTATTGATGTCTCACACTTTTAATTCTACTCAGGAGGCAGACACCTGAGGATCACAGTTTGAAGCCAGCTAGGACAGACAAATCCAAGAGACTCTTCTCTCCAATTAACCAGCAAAAAGGCGGAAGTAGAAGTGTGGTTCATATGTAGAGCACCAACTTAGAGTAAAACAGTCAAGCAAATCTGGATGCTGATGGCGCATACCTGAAATCCTAAATTCTCAGAGGCTGAGATCTGAGGATCATGGTTCAGAGCCAACCTGGGAAGGAAACTCCATGAGATTCTTATTTCCAAGTAACCACCAGAAAAGTGGTAGAACACTAGCTTTGAGCAAAAGAGCTCAAGATAATGTCTAGGCCCTGACTTCAAACCCCACTACCAACAAAAATTATTAAAAACTTAAATAAAAAAATTTTAAAAAGCTAAGGGACTCCCTGGCCCTGCATTCAAGCCCTACTACTGACAATTAAAAAAAAAAAAAAAAAAAAGCCGGGTGCCAGTGGATCATGCCTGTAATCCTAGCTACTCAGGAGGCTGAGATCTGAGGATTTCAGTTCAAAGCCAGCCTGGGCAGGAAAGACCATGAAACTCTTATCTCCAATTAACCACCAGAAAACCAGAATTGGCACTGTGGCTCAAGTGGTAGAGTGCTAGCCTTGAGCTGAAGAGCTGAGGGATAGCAGTCAGGCCCAGAGTTCAAGCTTCATAACTGACAAATAAAAAATAAGGTGGACACTGGTGGCTCATGCCTGTAATCCTAGCTGCTCAGGAGGCTGAGATCTGAGGATCATGGTTCAAAGCCAGCCAGAGCAGGAAAGTCCAAGAGATTCTTATTTATTTATTTATTTTTGAACTTTTATTTATTTATTATTAGTAGTAGTTGTTGTTGTTGTTGTTTGTCGGTCAGGGGGCCTGAACTCTGGACCTGGGTGCTGTCCCTCAGTTCTTCAGCTCAAGGCTAGCACTCTACCACTTGAGCTACAGTGGCACTTCCAGCTTTTTCTGTATATGTGGTGCTGAGGAATCGAACCCAGGGCCTTATGCATGCAAGGCAAGCACTCTACCACTGAGCCACCTTTCCAGCCCCCTCCAAGAGATTCTTATCTCAATTAACCACTTGAAAACCAGAAGTGGCACCAATGCTCAAGTGGTAGAGCACTAGCCTTGAACTGAAGAACAAATGCTATGGGACTCCCTGGACCTGAGTTCAACCCCTAGTACTAGCGTGTGTGCGCGAACACGCGCGCGCGCACACACACACACACACACACACACACACACAAATCCTCAGAGATAGCTGGAATTTCTACTACTCTGCCTCAGTATAGGATGGAGAATATCTTAGGCAAGTTCTTCTTGTTGTGCAGCATGAATCTTAATGATCAACCTCCGGAAGTGGCGCTGTAGCTCAAGTGGTAGAGCACTAGCCTTGAGCTGAAGAACTGAGGAACAGTGCCCAGGCCCAGAGTTCAGGCCCCATGACGGACAAAAAAAAAAAAAAAAAGATTGGGGGGATGATCAACCTGTTCCACTGACTCAGGCTTCCTACCAAATGGAATGATGCTGGATAGCTAGAAAAAGCAAATATAACTAAAAGTGTCAACTGCTGTTTGATTTCATTCACAGCTGCAGAATGAGTGCCACACAGTGCCTGAAACATGAATGGTTGAATAACTTGCCTGCCAAAGCCTCAAAATTCAAAGTTTGTCTCAAATCCCAACTATTGTTGCAGAAATACATGGCCCAGAGAAAATGGAAGGTATTTTGGTTTTCTTTCAGCAAACACAGAATTGAAGCTAAGGTTTTACTTACACTTTTGTCACTAACTACAAAGATTATTTAGGGGAAAAAGTCTTTCCCAAGTTAAAAGCTGTCAGCTTGATCACAAGATGCCATACACTGTCACAAAAGTGCTGTTTAGTTCCAAGTTCTCTGGGCACTTGGTGACAGAATGCAATTGATCATATGGTCGTAGTGATGGTGGGAGGGTCCCTGAGTTTGATTTTTCTTCATTTCAGACACTGGAAATGGGAAAGATTCACTAAGCTTTAAAACCTTTATAAGTTTGCTTATAACAAAATTCTTTGAACTTTGGCCATAGAGCCTATCTTAATAGGCATTGTCATTTGGGAAAATAGCTTTCCAACATTTTAGTACTGACTTGGATGTTCACTAAAAAGCAAAACAACAGGGCCAGGAAGGTGGGTCATTCCTTTGTGTCTCAAAACAAAAAACCCTTTCCCAAGGAGTCAGAATACAAGTACACATATACATCTATAGACATATACAAGGCAAAATTTTCACTTTTATTCTAACAGAGTGCGAGGTATTCTATTGCCTATCCCATTTAATTTCATTTTACCAAAAAAAACAAAAAACCAAAACAATGTTCATATGATTTCATGACCCTTTTGTAGGTTGTGAATCATAATTTGAAAAACACTATTCTGGGTTGCTTATTTTTTCATGTGAGAAGAGCAAGGTCACTTATTATCTTAACTCACACTTATTCCAAACATTTCCTTTCAGGTTATGTGAGTATTGTACTATAATTATTTCAGATACTTGTTATTCACTTTATCAATTTTAAACAAACTCAGTGGATAGCCATTCAAAGCATCTGTTTCTTTTAAAATATTTGGTCTAAAATATGCCTTTTCTTTTTTTTTTTATCTTGTCTTCTTATCTCAAGAAACATTTCTACGTGGTGACTGCTGCCAACAGGTTAAAGAAATATCCAGCTTGTTCTTAATCTTCTACTCTGCAACTCCAGTGACAGAAATTATTGAGGCCAGTGGTAATGTGAAGAGATGACTCACAAATTTAAATAACCTGGCCCTTTATTATGCTTGACTCCTAAACAAAACAATAATCTCCCTTCTTACAGTTATGTTGCTTTTGTTATAGATGAAAAGTGGCTATAAAAGAACTCTTGAAAGATCACTAAGTTTGAAAAGCTATGTTTACTTTTCAAATATCTCTGTTTGGGGGCTGGGAAGGTGGCTCAGTGGTAGAGTGCTTGCCTTGCATGCATGAGGCCCTGGGTTCGATTCCTCAGCACCACATAAACAGAAAAAGCCAGAAGTGGCGCTGTGGCTCAAGTGGTAGAGTGCTCGCCTTGAGCTGAGGGACAGCGCCTAGGCCCAGAGTTCAGGTCCACGACTGGCAAAAAAAAAAAAAAAAAAAAGAATCTCAAATATCTCTGTTTGGTAATAACTGTAGTCATGGTTAAGGTCATTAGGAAAGGTTCTTTTTGCAAATGTCAAACTCAAATTCTAAGCTTTCTTGATTAAAGAATTCAGTATAATACTACACTAGATCATTTACTCAGTATTAGTAAAGAATTTCTAGCATTTTGATTTGCCTAAGGTTGAACAAATCTTTTCCCACCCTGCTCTAGTGTCTAGCTACAGGGATTTAGGACAGTGATTCTCAAAGTAGTTTTAACTATGTTCCCTTTAAAAATCTCCATCAGAAGCCAGGCCTGTAATCCTAGCTACTCAGGAGGCTGAGATCTGAGGATCAGAGTTCAAAGCCAGCCCAGGCAGGAAAGTCTGTGAGACTCTAATCTCCAATAAACCACCAGAAAACTAGAAGTGGCACTGTGGCTCAAGTGGTTGAGCTGAAGAGCTGAGGGACAGTGCCCAGGCCCAAAGTTCAAGCCCCACAACCTCTCCCCCCCCCAAAAAAAAGCAAGCAAACAAAAAAGCACCAATATGCATTCTTGAGTATTGTTTGAAATTTTGAAATATGTCAGCTGTCATGGTTAAGGTCTGAGCATTGTAAATGTGTTTTGTAACCCTTTATCTTCTCTCCTAATCCTACCCTGTCCTGCCCCTACCCCTTATTTGCTTATGAATTTCTAGTCTTGATTTATCAGTTTCTGGCTGTGAAAGTCTGGAAATGATATGTGGAAGACAGGAGAATAATGGTGTCCAGCTGTCAGAGAGGAAAAATGACTGTGAGGACACATTACAAAGCAATAAAGGAAAGCTGCTTTCCTGATGTATTTGTCATTCTTTTTTTCTAATTTATTGTTGTTTTAGAGGAGATATACATGAAGTTACCTTTACATACATTAGATAGTAAGTACATTTCCTTTTGCATAGTGTCATCTGTTCCCTCATTTTCTCCTATTCCCTCTCTCCCATCTCCACCCAGGAATTGCATAGTTCACTTTCATCAATGTCCAGTAAATTCCATTGCTGCACTTTTTCACCCTTTTTCCTCTAATTCTGTGCCCTTCCTTCACCTTGGCACAGGTGTGCATGTGAATACACTGTATATAAGGTAAGAATACACAGTCATCAGAAAAAGAAAAGGCAATTTAAGAAAAAAAAATCTTTTGTTTCCATATCTTTGGAGTTCATTTCAGTATGTATCGGATTTTATATACATATGAAGAGGAACTTGGATATTACACCATTGTGATTTTCTCCTAAGACTACCTGTAAGGTTTTAGGTGAGGAAAGAATGAGCTGAGGAAGTAAAGGTGAATAAAAGTTTATTGCGGTATGCTCCCAGGCGAATTCCCTAGTCGGGATGAGAGAGGTTGCAGAGAGTCTGGTTGTAGCAGGGTTTATATGGCCGGGGTCAGCAGGAACTTATAGCACGTACCTTGTTTTGCAAGTTTGAGCGGTTTCAGGCTTGTGTCCCCGAAGAACGATTGGGACAGGTGGTGGATAGGAAGTGGCTTCTCGGCTGCTTCTGCCTTCCAGCGGCCTGACACTATCCTCTTTTAGTTTCACTGCATGTGAGTATCTAGAATTTGTGTCCTATCACGTTTGTAGATCTCATTCCAGTCTGGGGGGAAGGGGGAGCTGGGAAGATTAGATTTGGGCCTCCAGGATGGGCTCCATTGGATCTGTCTGCTGGACGTGGTCGGGTGGATGTGAGGCTTTGGAAGGGGTGGGCTCCCACTGGGTGCTTGAAATCTCTTCTGTGTTGGTTTCAAGCCAGCCCGTTTCCGTGCAGATAGCCAGGGCTGTGAAGGATGCTGGGTCCCGGTGTGGGTATGGGTCCCGGTGGCCTCCTGCTGGAAGTCAGCAGGTGGGGTGAGGGGAAGTGAGGAAGGGCTCTGGTCTCTGTCCTCTTCAAGTGTGGTGTCCCTTCTTGGGCAGGAGATGAAGTACCAGGCTGTAGACGCGGCCCCTCCCCCCCCCCCCCCCCCCACAAAGACCACCAGGGAAGCGTGCCTGATGTAAGTGCGCAAGAGTCGTCCATTAAAACTCCAGGGGAACTCAAATCTCCTGGCTCAGCAGGTTGGAAATTGTGAGCCCCGACCACGGCGTCCAGCAGGGTTTTTATAGGGAGGGAACGTGAAGCAGAGGGCGGGTCATTACAGCATTGGTTGTGTGGGGTTATGTGATTGGTTGAGATTCGCGGGTGAATCTTGTCTTAAGCTTATTGGTTGGGGCATGATCATTTCTAGTAAGGGCTGGGGCTTTCCAACTTCGCAGCTACAGGATAGGTTAAAGCATATATAGCAAACATGTCATTGGTAGGGGTAAGCGGGTAAGTAGGGCTAACTACAGGAATGCTGATTCATTTCCCTGTCCTAAATTGCTTCCTGCATGGTTGGGATGACAGATCAGGGCGGTCTGACCTCTTGGACTGTGCTGATACTGTTACCTTGTCTTGGAGCAGGCTCTAACATTTATCCTCCAGTAAACATATGACAGATGTTTTCTTTATGGTTTCGTTACTGTCGAACTTATTTTTGGTCTCTCAGAGGGAGGGGATTGGGCCAAGCTTTGTGAGTCACCACCAACGCTTGTCTCCCATGTGGAGTCCTCGGCAGGGTGCTCTCTGATCCTGGAGTTGGTGGTGGGCTGACCCGAGGTGCTGCTTGGATCCCTGAGACCAGGGCAGCCGGGGAGCTGGAACTATTCTGGGTCTGGGTGTCACAATGGCTCTCTGCTAGTCTCTGTGAGTTTCTGCGCTGTCTGGGTCTGGCGCTGTGGGAGTTTTCTGCACCTCTCTTGTTGTACCCCCCCCTTCTCAGGACCCCCACCAAGAAGACCACCGAGAGTCAGACGCTCCGAAATGCAAAAGCAAGGCTTTATTCAGGCAGGCTGCAGCTTGGGCATCGTCCTACACACCGAGTCAGCGGAGCTTAGGAGGAGAGCCCCGAGCTGAAATGTCACAGGGTTTTATAAAGGCAAAAACTACAAAGTTACAAAAGGAGAAGGAGAGAGAAAAAAAATCACAGACTGACAAATTTACAGCAACTAGAGGTGTCAGCAGGGCATTCCAAGGTGATAAGAGGTAGTAGGGAGTTATCAAACTGGCTGGGTCTCTATGGGCCATCTGGACATTCCAGAGCAGTTAAAGCTTAGCAGGGAGTAATTGGTGGTCTGTTTATCTTGGGCCAGCTTGGTCATCTCCTGAAGTTTGTGGGGACCCAAGGCTAGCTATAGTACAAAGTGGGGCCTGACTTCAGAGTAGCTTTGTTCAAGTAATCTATGGATTAGCAGTTTCAGCACAAACAAGACAGTTTCTGAAATTCAGGTGGGCCCAAGGTTAATATGAGCAACCGAAGGGTTACTGCTTCGAAACGAAGCCACTTTTAACTCTTCACTATCTGATAGGTTCTGGAGTCCCACGCTGCAGCCGCGCTGGGATGGGGTCTGGGGGAGGGCTCTTTGAAATTTTCCGTCCTGTGTACAAGATAGGGGTTCGGTGCTTTTTGTTTTCCTTCAGTTCCTGTGATTCTCTCCTTGTGAATATATTTGTTGTTGTAAATCTCTTGGGGAGAGGTGTATGTTAGGACTCCAAATCTCTGGTTAGAGAGAGCCAGGGTGATTCCCTACTGTTTTGCGGCCATCTTCTTCCCTGTATTTGTCATTCTTTCAACAGACACTTGCACCTGTGTGTTCATTTATGGCTGCCACCTGCATTAGGGCAGCTGAGTTCTCCATTCACTGAAAACACACTGCTCTCCAATTTGTAATTAGCACATTTGCATACTTCTGCATAGACAATTTATCAACTTATAAAGTGATTAAAGGTCTGTGCCAGATAAGTATCCTCAAAGACTACCAAGGAGCCGATTCCCATGCAAGCACAGTTGAGTTGTTTATTGCCTGGACTCACAACGTCACCTACAGGGCGGATTGAGAGTCCCGGCCCTTCATCTAGTGGGGTTTTTAAAGGCAAAATCAATGAGGTCAAGCCTGGTCATGCGTAGGTGACCAATGGGATTGTAACACACACAAAGGATTGTACAGTCATACCAGACCACACACAGGTGGCCAGTGAGGTTAGTTTGTAATGGCTGTTTAAACCAGCTATCACCTTGGTTTAAAATGGCACACAAGGGGCTGGGAAGGTGGCTCAGTGGTAGAGTGCTTGCCTTGCATGCATGAGGCCCTGGGTTCGATTCCTCAGCACCACATAAGAAAAAGAAAAAAAGTCAGAAGTGGCACTGTGGCTCAGTGGTAGAGCACTAGCCATGAACTGAAGAGCTGAGGGACAATTCCCAGGCTCAGAGTTCAGGCCCTATGATGGACTCAAAAAATAAAAAAAATAAAAAATAAATAAAATGGTGCACAAATTTAGTGAGTAAGGCGAGGTCTACCTTTTGGTGGGCAAAAGGTGGAGTTTAGCATAAGCATCTGTTTTATGGATCAGTCTTTACATCAACAATCAAGGGTGGGTTAGGTTGTTAAGGGGAGGGGGACAAGATGCATTTTTTTTTTCATTCTGGAAACTAGGCCCATCAAGTCTAAAATCCCTAAAACAAAGGCAAAGCTCAAAATGAATCATACCAGCTTGGGCCCCATCTCCAGGTCCACTTCAATTAAAGGTAAACAATCTCCTTAATTTTCTCATTTCTCTGGTGCTTT